TTCCCGATCGAAACTGACGTCAAAACGAGCTCGTAGAGCCGTAGGTTCGGGGGCTGGACTCCTAATCAGCAGGTCCTAGGTTTGAGCCCTCGGGGCGGTGCACCACCTGGGTTGGGTATGGCTGGTTGATGACGGTTAATAAACCAGAAATGGCCACTCCAGCCGCCCTTATCTGTGTCGGTAATGGCTTTCTGTAAATAATTACCCTCAGTACAGAAGCCAGGTGGGCCAATCGAGAGCCCTTGTTAAAGCAAATACACCTCCCCCTCCCCCGAAGTACCCCAAAGTCGAGACCAAAAAAGCAGGTTAAACACAAGGCACACTTACCGTATGAGCGAGCAGCAGGAGTGGTATGATGCCCGGGGCCCCGTGACACCACTGAACCAGCCGATTGTTGTTGTTACCCAGGCTGGAGGGCCAGTTGTAGTGCTCCTCACCGTCAAAGTGCAGCTCCGACAGCCAAGTGATCGTGGGCAGGATTAGGGCATAGAGGGCGGTATCTGGCAGGGCTTCGGGCATTTGCTGGTGAACCTACAAAGAGTAGACATGGAGGGGAGGTGGTTTATGAAGGCAGGGGTGGGAAATATGACGAAGAAGAAGAAGAAGAAGAAGAAGAAGAAGAAGAAGACATGCACATACATGGATAGGGAGCATTAAACAACGAACCCATACAATACTATTCACACAGACATTTCGTAGTCTTACAAATCTCATAATTACAAACTTTTTTACACCCGAAGAGTCCGGCCTTTTTTCGAGCACCTAAATTTAAGAATATAGTCTTCAAAAAATTGCCTTCAGGAAAAGATGTGGCCAGCCTGTTTTTTTATAAAATGTGCTTCAACTTATGGGGATGTCGGAAATCAATTGAATTCGATCTAAGAGCGTGTGAGTTGCGTAGGAGCCGAAGGAACACGCATTCATAAGCCGATATCAATGTGTAAGCGCCTCGTAGCTCAGTTGAGGGGTTTTCGAATCTCATTAAGGCCACCGAGAATTTCACGACTGAGTCAAGTAAATTATTTAAATCTGCCAACTCCCCCCCCCCTAATCATATCTAACTGGAAGTCATCTGGTGGATGCTAGATAGATTGCATAGGAAATCCTGCTTGGGCACTGAGAAGGTAGTCAGTTCAGCTTTTAATCCCCTGAGAAATTAATTTCTCTTCTTGGTATACATCAGTATATTTAGGAAGGAATCAAAAAGTTGAATTTTTAAAACAGGTACATCAACCAGAAAGCAAAACAGAGGAATCTGGGGGGCCCACTGGCGAGTCGGACCCCTCGCGGTTGTGTCGAGCAGCGGCAGAATACCGGCGAGACACTTGTCTGGGCCTTTTAGCTAGTACCTGGGCTGTTAGTATGGTAAGTTACAACGTCAATATATACTATTACAGTCTGCCCGTTTGCAGCATATTACGCAGTAATTGACGGAATTCAGCCAAAATACACACATTTAATTTCGGTCTTTGCCTATAGACTTTAAATATGCTGATGTAAACCACAAACAGAAATTAATTCCTAAAGGAATGAAAATAGGTGAACTTCCAAAACCGGTATATCAAACAGAAAACAAACAGAGAAAGCTGGGGGACCAACTGACGAACCGTACCCCCAGCGGCAGAATACCGGCGAAACACGTGTTTGGGCCATTTAGCTAGCACCTGGGTTGTTAATATAGTAAGTTACAACTTCAATATAGGTAGTCAGTCTTTTCCGAAATCGACAAAGTATTTGTTCTCACGTGATCAGATGCGCATGCTCCTCTGTCGTGAGAGATCATAACCGGGTTTAAACATGCACCTAATATATAACACACTGTTTGCATACCACGCAAAGTATATTGCATACCATTGAGGAGTTTTAGTGAAGGCCTAATAAAGCCACTAGCCGATAGCGGCTCCTATATGCAATCCACAAGACAAGCCAACTGAGGAAGCAGGCGCCAAAAATATAAAACGCCCTTTGTCTGCAGAAATGCACGAATCCGCGAAAAATTTGCAATATACATGCATAGACTTCCTATTCCATGGAATGTCCCCCGAAATTCTGAAATGTAATTTCAATTTGTACAAATTACTTAAGTAAGATTGTAATACTGATTATCGAGTAGCATAATCCTAAGATATTTCAGTCACTTCAGGATTTCGGCTTTCAAACCAGCTTCCTTTTGACTGCCTACACGGTTACTTAAAGAGTATGAATTTTTCCAATTGATTTTTACTGTTGTAACGGTGGCCAAAACTGCGATATCGTCGTCTACGTTACGCCTTGGATGATTCCCCAAGGAAGAACACAACAAGAAGAGCGTCAAAGTAGAAGTCTTCGAGACAACCTGGTACAGCGTACTTTAAAGCGAGCGAACGCGTATGTACAAGGTTGGACCAATTGGATGATGGTCACAAGAAAGACACGACTTCATTGGCTGGGTGGGTCATGCAGCTGGCGTGTTAGTCTTGTGCCGGCTGTAGCTGGGCGCGGCGTCACGCAATGCACTTTGTGTGCATAGGTGGACTGGCGGTCTCTCGTGGGAAGGCCTCGTTAGGGCGGCGTGCACTTTGAGTTAAGCTGGGCCCTAACATTTACTGCTCTTAAAAATGCAAATATACTTTGTATAAGTTGTGCACAGATATATTATTTCTTGTGGCTAATCACCTCTTGTTCAAATTTTATGCTCGAAGAAAGGGTATCTTTTTTGTCAAATAAGTACACAGAATGGTATTTTAGTTTACAAGATCATATAAAATCACTGAGGAAAATAAATACTACTTAAGTAGTTATTTTCACGGGGCAAACATCTTGCTGGCAGTCGGAAGGAACTTCGTTCGACAGTTAGCATGCCAACGTCATGGAAACATCTTGGGATCACGCTGTGTGATAATCAATATTAAAATCCTGCTCAAGTAATCAGTTCAGTTTGATAACGCATTTCATTAATTCGGTTTATGTAGAACTCACTCGACATTCCACCCCTGAGCGGGGCGGACGCCTCGATGCTGCCGCGCTCTCACGGCCCTCGTGGCGAACGCAACGCCAAACCGAATCAACTTTCGTCCTAACTATTCTGCTATCCTTCTGCAGAATAAGCTACTCCTATTAAGCGCAAGGCCTCTCCTCATTACGTGTGGAACAGATGCCTATTTTCGTGTTCGGCCTAGACGGGGGAAATTAAGCAACTTTCAGTACACGTGCATTTTCTTACATTTCCGCTCTACTGGACCAGCGGAAGTCGTCACGCCGGTCGGATCGAAATTATGGAGAAAAAACTCTTTTCCGCTGCAATTTTTACTGGTGGAAAAAAGAGTGAGGGAGACGAACATGTGACGATGTGAGCCAATTGCGTAACCTATTTGGGTAAAACTCTCGCGAGTTTTCCCGCAACGACGAAAAATCAATAAATTTATCGACCAATAAATTTAGCCCTCTGTTAGTTGCGCAATCGGCTCATGTTTTATCGCCCCATGTTTTAAAGAGGGAGGGAGAAGACAGCAAGCCAGTAATGATCCCATCACGCAATGTTCATATGCTCTCCTGCAGTTAGCTCAATTATTTATGAGTTTGATTCCCACGCCTTCGCCAAATTCCAACTCCACTTTGTTCACATCATGCGACAACAACAAAAAAGTGGAGCTTAACAGTAGCAAAAGTGGAAAAAAAGCTCAACTTTTATTTTTGCCTCAAGGGTTAACTGTGCGAGACATTTTCTCAGCAGTTAGCAACATTCAATGACGAAGAGAAGCAGGCAGTCCATAACACCTAATTGCCAGCAGGCTAAGAAGGAAACAACCTTTCTAGGACGCAATCACAAGGGTAATTCCTAGAGCACATGTGATCTAACATGACGCAGCCACTGAGTTCTGAGGGATTTCCTGGATAAATGCGGAGACGCCAAGTCTAACAGAAGTCTCGTGGAGGATGCTGTAGCCCTTTACCTATCGAGCATTGTCTGACACAACAAATTAAGAGGAGAGTAAATATAACAGCAGAAGAGGGCACGTCGATCACCAGAATCATGGTTTTATTCGTTTGCGATTTCGAACTCTTGCTGGAATCCATCGCCAGCGGTAAAAGTGGCTACAAAAAATAAGTAACAGTTATAGGAGGCAGAGGAGCAATCAACCACCAGTGATGTCAGTCCGAAAATACCTGCGCAGGGCTATGTATGGTGGCGCCAAATGGATAAATCGATTGACTGAGTTCTCATTTGAGGCCCAGGCTTCAACTAATTCTGAGCCTTCGAGGGGAATTCATTCAATCGATTTATCGATCTGGTGCCGGCATGCATAGCCCTGCGCAGTCACCTCCGTACCGACGTCACTGGTGTTTAATTGGCCCCTGCCCCCTATAACTGTTGCCTGTTTTTTTTCGCAGAACCATTTATGCACTGTCTAAGGCAAACGACTCACAGCCGGGACCGTGTGATTGACAATACACGACTGCGTACCATTTATTTTTTGGTGCAAACTTTTTTTTGCACTTTTTTTCGTCATCAGTCACAGTAAGGATGAAGATGATTGTCAGTTCATAGTCGGGTACTTATGTGCTAAAATATCTAATAGATTCCATCGCATGCTCCCCAGCCCGCTTTTGTTTCCAGGTGCCACTAGAATTGTTTTAGCTAATTTCGTGAAGTCGCAGTGCAACTAAAAAAATGAACAGGGTGTGACCTCAGAGGCACCGCCATAGACTCCATTTGACAACAGGTAGTCTGAACCATCACTTAAAAACGTGTACTTT